TAGTAGGCAAATATTTTTTCAAAATGCACTGAAAATCTAAACCTGAGAAACAGTAATCTAAGTTTTAATAAAATGATTTACAGTGATGCTGTTTGCTAGCTAGTATGCTGACCATCCAATCAAAGGACGAGAAAATGATGACGTTATCGTTAGCCAGCTAGATGGCCCTGGTGCTGCCAACTCGAAATCTGATTGGTTAAAGCAACGGTTTCATTGCCATTGATTTAAGCTAACAGACGCCTGCACTGTTGATTCTGAAGGCCTTAAGGCAGATTTCTTTGACCCTGGCAACACGATTACTGAAATATGATTGGATAAAAAGCTCTAATATAAACATACACTGCTGGAAGCAGCGCAACCAAGAGAAAAGCTATGAAATGAAGAGAATAGACTATTGGAAATAATTGAATACACATTCATGGAAAAATATATTAAAACTAAATTTTCTGATTTTCTGATAGTATTTAGGCCAGCAGAGAAGGCTTTGCTGGCCCTGACGGCCCACCACTGCACTACATATATATAATGAAGCAACCATACCTTCCATACCTTAGATGACATCCATTGTGTATACTCAATGAGTGTTAGGTCAACCTTAAATCTATATTTACCTATACAGTGTTTCTCCACATGTTCAATTTTCTATTGTGTAGTACTAGCAAAACTTTGGTACTACTCAATGAAAAATTTTTTGTTTTGTTGCACTTTATGCAATAGGTTCAAGGGGTAGACCAAGCTTAGACGTGACTAGGGAACAGCTGTAGCTGTTGCTCAAGCAGGGGTTCAAAGCAAAGGCCATGGCAAGGATGCTTGGATGCTCAACCTCCTACATGTACCACAAACCCCATGCCCTAGGAATATGAATGAGGGACCAATTTACCCAAATTGATGATGATGATCTCGAGCAGTGTGTACGAAGGCTTCATCGGCAGTATCCCAAATCAGGTTATGAGGTGTATATATATATATATGAATGTCTCACTCAATCTCGGTTGCAAGATTTTTACTCTGCTTGTCAACATTGTGTGGCATCATTGTTCCTAATCAAACAAGAACAAGCACTCTGTTTTCACAATTTTCTGTTTCACAACAGATGATGCAAGGATACCTGTCAGCTGAGGGAATACATGTACAGAGACAACGTGTGCGTAATATGCTCAGTAAAATTAACCCAGCAGCAGCAGCTGAACGGTGGAGCTGTGCTGTTGCAAGATGGACATACTCTGTCCCGCTTCCAAACAGTCTTTGGCACATAGATGGGCACATGCGCCTTATAAGGTATTAACTGACAAGTTTTGTCTGTACACTTAAATCCGTTGTACATGCACTCTTTCACTCATACACACTTTATCACACACAAACACATTCACAATTACAGTAGCAACACAATCTCTTCTCTCTCTCTCTCTCTCTCTCTCTCTCTCTCTCACGCACACACACAAACACACACACAGTTTCTGTCACATTCAGTTGTGGTCAAAAGTTTGCATACACTGCAGAATGTGCAAAATTAAATTTTTAACTAAATTAAGAGATCATGAAAAAATTAGAATAATTTTTAATTTGAATAATTGAATAATTTATGTACACAGATGGGGAATAGTGACACACGGAGGGATTGACGGACACTCACGAGTCATCACTTACCTAAGAGCAAACCTTGATAACACTGCTTTGACAGTGTTGGCCAGTTTTGTTGGAGCAACATTTCAGTATGAACTCCCATCCAGAGTGAGGTCTGACTGTGTTGGAGAAAACACACAGGTTGCTCTGCTTATGAATTTGATTTATGGTGATGAACGGAGGAGTCACATCACTGGAAGATCAGTACACAACCAGCGTATCGAAAGGCTCTGGAGAGATGTTTTTACCCAGGTAATTCAATACTTCTACCACCTGTTTTATTTCTTTGAGGATGAGCAAATTCTGGATCCAGACAATGACATACACAGATTCTCTTTACAACAAGTTTACCTGCCAGCCATGCAGGAAAGACTGGACACTTTCAGAGCAGCATGGAACAGTCACCGGCTACGTACTGAATCAAATCGTACACCCAACCAGATATGGATGGAAGGTATGGTTGCTAACTGTCAACAGGACACAACAGCCATTAACCATGTTTTCAGCCGGGTCCCACATAATGAAGAACTGGAGACCATGCTGGGGTGATATGGAGTCCAGCTAACTCAATTGGAAGTTAATCAGGATGACCTTGAAAGAGCTGTAGTAGTTACTCGACCACAAATTAACTTATACTTTAACAAATTAAAATACTTAAAGCTACACTAACAAGAATTACTGACCTGAAGGAAAAATATTTGACCTGCTGCAGAGAAATTACCAGATTCCTACACTAGGCTGAAAATATGTACCACTCGAGTATTCCGCCATTAGGGTAAAATACTGTAGAGTGTTTGAGAGATTTAATAGTACCGTACTGCATGCTAGTTAAATTTCATGACTTTATTTGTTCACGTGTAACCATGACATTTTAATCAAGATGCTATTTGAAACATTAAATTTTTTTTGCAATAAAACAACTGCATTGTAGTTCTTTAAAACCATTGCTTTTAGAAAGGTTTTTTTAAAACACTAACTGCCTCTGCTTAGAAAAATAAATCCGACATTTTGTATACATCCCCTAACCTGAAAGAACAGAACCAGTTTGTTAACAATAGGTATAAGTGACTAGAATAAAAAAAAGTTTTCAGAACTCCAGCATAGAAAAATTGTAGTAAGAGTCATTTTATAGATACACACTTCTCCTAAACTGTGAGAACTGAACAGAAAACCAGTTTAACAATAGATCTAGAAGCTCTAGATGACTTCAGAAGAAATGTATCAAAGTGATAAACTGATTAAGTAAATTAGTCTCCAAACAACACACAATTTAATCCTTGAGTCACTTAAGACACAACAGCCATTAATAATGTTTTCAATTGGGTCCCACCAAATGAACTGAAGACCATGCTGGGGCTGCATGTCACAAGTCATTCTTAGGAAAGCCAAAGGTTGGAGCCTGCAGTATCCCATCAGTCATGTATGTTTTGAAGTCATCATAGCTGTTGTGAAGTGGCAGTCTGAGTATTATTAGACCCGTATTGGCCTCAGGATATATTCGTTTGTAGTCTGAAGTTCCATGTAGAAACTGGAGTTGGGGAGGTTGAGAAAACCCCAGTGGAGGCACGGCTGATGATCCTGAAGCAAATTCAAGGACCATCTCCATTGTTGGAGGACTGCATTCTCCTTCTACAAACAAGTTAAACGCAAGTAAAATAAAAAAAAATGTTTTACCTTAAAATAAAAGTGTTGGATTAAATAAAACCCTGTTATTTCATCACTAACATTTCAAAAAAATAAAATTTTAAAATTGAAAAATAAATTTGACAATTTAAAAAACTTAAGGCCTGGTATGGGCTTGCTCCACCTCCGTTAAATGAATTTATGAAACAGGACAGATTGTAGTATTGGTACTAGGTTCCAATCATCATTAGAGGGGACTGCGAGGTGCCATATAGGCGAACATCTTTTAGACACAGTATTGTCTGTAACGGGGAGTAAATATTGGAATAGCTTACCGCAGTCAATAAGACAATGTTTACCTTTTGTACCTTTAAAGATCATCTTAAAAAGTGGCTTATGATAAATCAGTTGTTTAAACATTTTCCTTTTTAAACACATTTTAAATGTGTTGGGGTTTAGTGTCTTATGTAGTGTTGTATGCAGGGATTGAAATTAACTTTTTCACTCACCAGCCAATTTGGCTACTAAATTTTTAAGTTACCGGCCATTCATAATGTCTACTAGCCGAAAAAAAGACAGAAATACACCAACAGTTTGAGGCCGTCTACACTGCGCATGACAAAGCAACCGTTGCAAATCTTTTTGTCAGTACTGGGGTGTGCGATATTGACAATAATATCTCAATATTTTCTGTGATTTTATCGATAAAGATAATTAGGCGATATTTTGCTGAGTGTGTTATTGTGCTGATATCTTAAAGGGGTCATATGATGCGATTTAAATTTTTCCTTTCTCTTTGCAGTGTTACAAGCTCTTGGTGCATAAAGAAGATCTGTAAAGTTGCAAAGACTAAAGTCTCAAATCCAAAGAGATATTCTTTATAAAAGTTAAGAGTCAACCACACCTACCCAAAATGGCTCGTTCTAACACGCCCCCACATATCTACGTCACGATGTGGGAAGATTTGCAGAACACCGCCCAAATGTTCACGCAAAGAAAGAAGGCATAACTTTTATTCTCGCTGTAGTATTGTTGCTGTCGCCATGTCGTGAAGGCGCTGCGTGTTTCGTTGTGAAAGAGAAACTACTTTGTTTGGCCTTCCAAAAGAGGACGATATCTGCTTCGTCATGCCTGGAGCTGATCCGTGCTGGTCGCTGAGGAAATACATCAACTTTTTTTTAATTTAAATAATTTGCCAATGATGATTCAAACGCAAGTTTTGAGCAGTGTAGAGTTGGGCTTGTTTGTTGTTTCTCCGATCACAAATGCAGACATGGTTTTATGTTTACGCGATGCAACGCAATGCGTAAAAAGACAGTATAAGTCATTATAATCCATAATTATGTCCCCACTGGATGCAACAAATGCCTCGTTTGTAATGTGTTTTTATTGGTTTTGTCTTGTCTAGTGATGTCCGGATCGCAAACGAATCATCCTATTTAACCGGTCGAACCAGTTCACCAAATCGAACTGAATCGTTTGAAACGGTTTGCGTCTCCAGTACGCACTAATCCACAAATTACTTAAGTTATTCGGTTTATAAACGTGCCTGACACTCCCTCTGACGCAAAATAAATATCCCGAGTTATTCAGTTACTCCTAACAGTACATTGACTGAACTGCTAAAAGAGAACCGATGATGGGATGTGCACGAGCAGAGCAGCTGGACTGAGTCTCGTCCTGCAGGGAGACAGCATCACAGTATGTTAAGGGGCGTAACATTTCTGTCACACGCTTGAGGAAAATAAAACGTATATACGTATAACGTATATCATAGGGCCCTAAAATTTTTATTTTGTTAAACTTTTAATAAATTGTTGGTAAATTGGAAAAGTTTAATTATTTCAATTAATTAGACATGATTTTTGATTACTAAAATTTTATTTAACCATTAAAATAGTCCAATTTTTTTTTTACGGAATTTGGGGAAAAAATAAAACTGATTTCATAGGGCCCTATATAAATGTTCATTAACATGCTTTGTCCCTAATAAATAAACAAATAGACAAATAATCTAAACCATAAACAGCATATTCATTGAAATAATGTAAACTGAATATAAAATACACAATTTAATAACATTTTATTTTATTTTCATATTTTTTCAGCTACTTGTCAAGGCAACATATACCAGTCAAAACTTTGGAAAACATTATTTTGAATACTTTTGATAGAAGCCTCATATGTTTGATCAAAAAAAGAAAAGGAAACTGTAATATTGTGAAATATTATTACAATTTAAAATAATGGTTTTCTATTTTTGCACAAATTCTAATGTGATGCATACCTTCAACATACAGTGGGTACGGAAAGTATTCAGACCCCCTTAAATTTTTCACTCTTTGTTATATTGCAGCCATTTGCTAAAATCATTTAAGTAAATTTTTTTTCCTCATTAATGTACACACAGCACCCCATATTGACAGAAAAACACAGAATTGTTGACATTTTTGCAGATTTATTAAAAAAGAAAAACTGAAATATCACATGGTCCTAAATATTCAGACCCTTTGCTCAGTATTTAGTAGAAGCACCCTTTTGAACTAATACAGCCATGAGTCTTTTTGGGAAAGACGCAACAAGTTTTTCACACCTGGATTTGGGAATCCTCTGCCATTCCTCCTTGCAGAGCCTCTCAGTCCCTCCAGAAGCAGATGGTCTGGTTCTCCTGTTGCCGTCTGTTGCTTCCCACTGGTGAGAGAAACACTTCAAACAAAGACGACAAATCTTTGGCCTGAAGTGGCTTTTCAAGGTTAGTAAAAATGTCTTCAAAAACATGAGGTTGACCCTTGATTTCCCCAAGCAGACCCAGGGTTTGTAACCCATCCTCAAACCTATAAAAAAAAACAAAGAAAAAATGCGGTAACTTTACTAGAAAAAAAAATAGCAAAGTAATGCTCTTGGAAGATAGGGGAGTAATTGTAATATAATTATATTATATAATTAATTCCATATAGCAGTGGTTCCCAACCCTGGTAGCCTACTCACAGCACTGGACATTTTAGATGTCTCCCTAATTAAATGCCTGATTCAACTGGGCTTGGCAAGTGTTCATGTAAACGTGGTCAGTTATGAATTGAAGGGATCCTATAATGTGTATATATACCTTTTAATTTTTAATGCGTAATGTTGCTGTTTGAGCATATAAAAGGCCTGTGAGGTAAAAAGCTCAAAGTCCACTCCAAAAGGAAGATATTCTCTTTAAGGGAAAACACTTCAAGAACTACAACAAACAACTTGGGACTAGGCTTGCTGCGATAGACGGTGTTGACGGTGATACCGGTGTTAAGCCGCAACACCGGTTATGTCACTTGCCCACTGCGGCACTGACCCCCACTGTCGTTTTGATTTTTTATAGAAATAAAAATCATTTAGTTCAGTAAAAGAACAGACACTACAATTAAAAACTGAACGCGGCTGCTCAATGCAGAGTGCCGAACGACAGTCACATCACAGATCAGATTTAATTTCTCCAGTGAGGAGAGAGAGTTGAGCTGACTGACGAGAAGAGTGAGGTGAGACAGACAAGACGATCGCGGATGATTTAGTTTCGAAACGAAAACGAAACGGATTATCAAATATTATTGAGAATGTGGGACAGCATGCTTTGGGTAATCTGGGACAGTCTTCAAATGGAGGAAATATGCATTTAGGGACTTTATAAGTCTAATGACTCGGGATAATATATGCTATAATGAGAAATGGGTGTTAATGTGGACTACTGGAGGTTATAACATTAGCATAAGTTCACAGTAGCTAGCAGCTAGCTAAACCAGCTAGCCAGAGAGATGCTACAGAGATGGAATCTGGGAAACGTATTCCAGTAGCAAGCAAAGGTATCAGGATGAAGTAAACTGTTAATTTAATTTCCCAAATTCCCAGTTAGTTTAGTATACAATGGTTCAAATCATTGAGCAGGAGGGGGATCTGCGCCCAGGCCAGCTGACAATGTTCTTCACCCCCTAGACACTCTCTCACACACACACACACACACACACACACACACACAGACAGAGACAGACGGACGGACGGAGTGTTTGTTCCCCAAGTAGCCCCAATTTTAATAGAATGGAGAACTTGAATAACTGACTGAATAATCCATTAATCAAATCGTTGCTTGCTGTTGCTTAAATTTTAGTTGATTCTTTAAAATGTTAATACAATGTTAAACAATTTTAATAGTTTTAAATGAATTAACACAGTATATTGTTCATCCTGTGTACAGAAAGAAATAATTTTTCCTGATATTGAAATATACATTTCCTTATCGAGATTTCTGTACTTGTCATTTTTTTCATAAAGCTTTTTAAAAATTG